CGCCATCCCCACACCCGGCGCGATGCAGCTCCCAGAGCAGGCTCGTGCCGTGTCGTGGTCTCCGGACTTTCTGCGTCTGCTCCCCTTCTCCCATCTTTGGTGTGTGCTTGCTGCGATAAACTTGCCAAAAAATCCACGGCAGGGGCTGAACGCCCGTATCGCGGTGCCAAGCTGGGGAAGCGGCGTGCTCCGGCGGATCGCTCGGTGCCGCTGCTCTCCTTACCGGCAGCGCAAACACGCGTCGGACGGCTGAGCATATGGCGAGAGCTGGGGTTTCGGTGGCACCGCTCCGCAGGGGGCTTGGCTTTGCTGCCCAGCTGCCCCGGGGATGGTCCCCCTCTCCCGCCATGGAAACGTCTCCCCTCCGAGTGCACCGAGGTGACGTTAACTCATCGTCGATAACCATGCGGCACAGCTGCGTCAAGAGCTCCATACAGAGCAGAACTGGGGGTTCCCCGTGCCAGAGGCACCCCGGGAATCCTCTGCTCCCGGTTTCCATCCCATCTCATCCCATCCTCTCGCCCGCAGTTCGCGCGGAGGCAGCAGCATCCTGAGCATCCGGCATGGACAAGGGCGTTCGCGTGTCCTGGACATGTCCCCAAACTCAGGCACCTTCTGCTCCCTTCCGAAGAGCGGCAGCCTCCCTGGGATTAGAGAGAAATGTCACCTGTAACCAGAGATGGGCAGCGACTGGGCTTGGAATATAGGGCACAGGGGAGAGGGAGGCTCGGTGACCCCGGAGGACGCGTTGTTTTCAGGATTTCAGGAGGGTTCCCATGGAAATAGCGACGGCTGCCAGGGTTATAGGACAAAAATAAAAGCCCAAGAGGAGGCAGGGAGCCGGCCGGGCAGTGACAGGCTGGAGCTGGCAGAGGGATGCGCAGCCGGTGCTGAGGGCTGAAAGCCTGGAGGTGTTTCGTGTCTAGGTCCCGCATCTGCCCCCGCTGCTTCGGCTGGGGGGTACGGGGGGGGCGTGCCGGTGCCCGAATCGAGGACCCTTGAGGCTCCCGCAGATGCTGAGCCCTGGTGCAGCAGCGTAGCAGCACTGCAGGCAGAGCCCAGCCCCCCGACATCGTTCCCGGGGGGCTCTGGCTGCTCTGCCTCCCTCCCGCGACCCTGATTCAGGAAGGAGCTGTGCTCAGTAAACAGTTCCCCTCCGAAGAAAATGCAACATGGAAAGAGCAGCACATTCCTACAATTTTTTTTGAAATAAGATCCAAGGAGGATGCGGTGCAGCGTGGCCCCTCACCGGGCTGTCCCGAGGCGGCTTTTTAGTGTGCAAATTAAAGAAAACAGCCTCACAACTTGTCCTCTGGCACATGGCGGGAGCTCCATGCGTAAAGGCCCCCGGGGTGGAGGG